AGATGGGCGATAATTCGATTTATTGTTGACAGTCCTGGCGTTTGGGCTTTCCATTGTCATATCGAGGTAATTTCAATGGTTACTTTATTGTTGTTTCCTCGATGCTAAATCTCATTTCTTTTGAATGCAGTGGCATGTCGAAGCAGGGTTAGTAGCCCAATTCGTTGAATTGCCTGACATGATAGCACAAATGAATCCACCTGAAGAATGGAAAAATCTATGTAATAATCAAAACACCACGATAACAAACCAAGAGACTTCTTTTTCTCTGAGGAACTTGTTAAAAAGGAATAAAAAGAAGCGAGGGCAGACATAAATTGTAAAATAGCAGATTAAATAAACTGTAAAATATGGATTAACTAAATACAAACAGCAAGAGAAGCAATTACCGCGTTACTCGACGTTTCCTATGTAGTGTATGTTCATGTTTGATCATATCAGTTTTTTTTTGTACAGAAGCTTTAAATACAACTGAATAATGAAACTCATAGTAAAAGACCTTTATTTTCTTGGAAATATTTAAATTTAAAATATTGAGAGAGTGAAAGTATTTATAATATAAGCGAAGGATTTGTCATGCACAGCTCAAAAAATAAGCATCACAACTTCTATAAAATACAGTAGTTTTTTTAAAATTATTTTTCAAATAATTTAATAAATAAATAAATACAGTATATGTAAATATTATTTACTTGAATAATATATTATTAAAATATGTCTTATAATATATTTGAGATTTTAATATAATTTAAAAAATATTGTGTATTCATTTTTTTTTAAAGTAAAGAAGCATTACTTCTTTATTTATTTCATATATACTAGGTATACCTTTAGAAAAGAATTAACATCTCTTAGTTGCAAAGCAAAAAGTAAATTAAATGCTAGCCTGCTATCACAACTGTTTAATCAACATTGAAAATTTTAAAACAATATACTGTATATGCAATTAAATAGTGCCAAGCAGCTATATAACCCTACTTAAAATCTTTTGACTAAATTGTAACTATGCTAAAAATAAAAATAAAAATAAGAAAAAAATCTTTTATCCAATATAAATGTTGGAAAAAATTATTTTTTTGATTCTTTGCAACTTGTTATTGATATTTTTACTAGTATAAATGCTTGAGTATAAATCATATAATTAATAGTTAAGATAATAGTTAATTAATTTGTTAACATTTTTGTTATTATTATTAATATATTAACTTTATTGAAAATATTATAAAAATAAAAATAACAACAATAATAAAATCTTTTGTCTGATATATAGTAAATATTAAAAAAATCAATTTTTTTGAGTTCTTATAACTTATTATTAAGATTTTTATTAATATAAATATTCAAGTATAGAATATATATATGATAGTTATTGCAATAATTAATTGGTTTATTATTATTATTATTATTATTATTATTATTATTATCCTATTGCCGTCAACTCAGGTACCTATGCTCGTCATTCTCAGCCTCCCAGT